ATGAGGCCAGTGAAGAGCTCACTTTTACACACATGAAGTCTGAGCTGCCTGTGAGTTTTTGTCTTGTGCTTGACTGTTCATTAGGTGTATCACCGGCCTCTCATGCTCAATGTAACGGAGCTCCCCTCACCCTCCCAGACATGTTCCCCTCCCGGCTCAGCCTGTGCTCCACAGCCCAGCTTCCTGAGCGTGGACTGCCCCTTCCTGGCTTCCTCTCCCGGGCCCCACCTCCGTCTGTCCCCAGTCCTGCCACTTCTGTATGAAGTTCCCCCCCATCCTCACTACCGAGCGCCTTCATCTCTGCCTGAACAACTGAATGTGTCTTCCATTCCATCCTCCTCTTCTCTTGCCTCCCTATCACCTATTATCCATTTACCACAATGTTGTTAAAGCACAAGAGATCACTCAGAGCCCCTGCTTAAAAGCTTACAGAGATGTCTCATTGTATATACTTAAATTGGGGCTAAACTCCGTAGTTGGCGATGGACAGGGAGGCCTGGCATGCTGCAGTCCATGGGGTCGCAAAGAGTCGGACACAACTGAGCAACTGACCTGAATTGAACTAAGATTGGGGCTTCCCATGTAGCTCAGTTGGGAAAGAATCTGCCTACAATTCAGGAGACCCAGGTTCAATTCCTGGGACAGGAAGATCCCCTGGAGAAAAAAGGAAATGGCAACCCACTCCAGTATTCTTGTCTGGAGAATCCCATGGACAGAGGAACCTGGCAGGCTACAGTCCATGGGGTTGCAAAGAATCGAACATGACTTAGTGACTAAACTACTGTATGCTTAGATAATAAAACCCAAGCTCCTTATCAATGCCCCAAAGGCAATGTAGAATATTGGGGCTGAGTGAGGCTGTACCACTGGAGTTTAAATTCTAGGTTTGCTACCCACTATCCACGGAAATCGGAGAAGGCAGTGGCACCCCACTCCAGTACTCTTGCCTGGAAGACCCCATGGATGTAGGAGCCTGGTAGGCTGCAGTCCATGGGGTCGCGAAGAGTCAGACATGACTGAGCGACTTCACTTTCAATTTTTACTTTTATGCATTGGAGAAGGAAATGGCAACCCACTCCAGTGTTCTTGCCTGGAGGATCCCAGGAATGGGGTCGCACAGAGTCAGAATGACTGAAGTGACTTAACAGCAGTCCACAGAAATATATACCTCATCTCAATTCATACCCCTACCCACAGCATTACTCAGAATGCCCCTGATTTCCTTTTTTTTTTTATATATATATTTAGGTGCATCTTTTTTTTTTTCCCATTTATTTTTATTAGTTGGAGGCTAATTACTTTACATCATTGCAGTGGTTTTTGTCATACATTGAAATGAATTAGCCATGGATTTACATGTATTCCCCATCCCGGTCCCCCCTCCCACCTCCCTCTCCACCCGATCCCTCTGGGTCTTCCCAGTGCACCAGGCCTGAGCACTTGTCTCATGCACCCAACCTGGGCTGGTGATCTGTTTTACCCTAGATAATATACATGTTTCGATGCTGTTCTCTTGAAACATCCCACCCTCGCCCTCTCCCAGAGTCCACAAGTCTGTTCTACACATCTGAGTCTCTTTTTCTGTTTTGCATATAGGGTTATCGTTACCATCTTTCTAAATTTCATATATATGTGTTAGTATACTGTAATGGTCTTTATCTTTCTGGCTTACTTCGCTCTGTATAATGGGCTCCAGTTTCATCCATCTCATTAGAACTGATTCAAATGAATTCTTTTTAATGGCTGAGTAATATTCCATGGTGTATATGTACCACAGCTTCCTCATCCATTCGTCTGCTGATGGGCATCTAGGAACGCTTCACGAATTTGCGTGTCATCCTTGCGCAGGGGCCATGCTAATCTTCTCTGTATCGTTCCAATTTTAGTATATGTGCTGCCAAAGCGAGCACCCCTGATTTCCTTTGAGAGCCTCAGAAAAGAACTCCTTAAGCCACCTGGAATCCCCTCCCTGGCTTTCAAGACTCATTCCTTCTCAAATTTCAGATCTTGGCTTCCAGTCAGCTCCAGCGAGAAGACGTCCTTGGCCATCCTTCCCAGAATAAGGAGCTCTCAAAACCTAGTTCTTTCCTTTAGAGCATCCATACCGTTTATAAGTAGATACTTAAGATTGTTTATTTTCTTAATACCTATTGCCATCACTAGACTATAAACTCCACAAGCAGAGAGTTTGCTGCTGTTATTATTATTATTATTTTGGTTTTGTTTTGTGCTAAGAAGAGTGCTTGGTTTTTATTAGGTATCTAATACTTGTTGGGGGAAATGAGTAAATCAATCAAGTTTGGGCAACTACTAGGGAAGCAATTCTTTACCCATTGGTTCCCCAACCCACTGAATAAGCCACGTCTGTACTCGCCTCCCCCGCCCAAATGTGTGTGGATAGTACTCCTGGTGGCTCAGATGGTAAAGAATCCACATGGAACACAGGAGACCTGGGTTCGATCCCTGGGTTGGGAAGATCCCCCGGAGGAGGACATGGCAACCCACACCAGTATTCTTACCTGGAGAACCCCATAGACAGAGGAGCCTGGGGGGCTACAGTCCATGGGGTTGCAAAGAGTCGGGCATGACTGAGCTTAGCTGCTTAGCTTAGCTTAGCACAGTACTATTCTAACTAAAAGCAAACTAATAGAATATGATCATTATGCATTTTCTCGATCAACGGCTATTAGTAGTACTCACTCCACATCACGGGAGGGAACTGCATAACATTTGGTGATATTGCAAAGAGGCTGGGGAGCACACCCTGAGCCCCAGTACACATCCCCCTGAAAGGAGTTGGTTGCACTTTGGGTCTTTACCGTGTGTACAGCAGAGGGCGCTGCGGAGACACCGCTGCAGCGGGCGCAAGCGCAGCCCTGAGGGAGGGGCGGGGCGAGAGAGGAATGACGTCCTAAACGAAAACGGTGGGAAGTGTTAGCAAGGTCACTGGAGGCTTTCTAACTGCGAGGCAGCCAGGATCATGCAGTGGTTTCAGAATCCAGCTGAGTTATTGGGATCCAGAGAGATTTTGAAAAGCAAAACAAAACTAATTTCTGGATGGCTGGTCAAGTAGGACCTGGGCAGGCTTTGGACCCTCTTGAAGATGTTCCGTACGATTTTGATGATCAAGAGATTTGAGACCCATGGGTGGGAATTCCCCAGGGCCAGCTCGGGGAGAGGAAGGGGTGGGGAGGAGACAAACCCTGTTGCCTTTTAGCTGTGACCTTTCTGATTACTCCACCCTAACTTGTAAAATGGAGGTAATAAAGATGCAGCAATAATGCATACCTTGTCAGGTTATTTTAAGGACCAAAGGACATCCAGGTGTAAAACTACTAACAATAAGTGTTCAAAGTAAGGTAGTCTGCTCTGGATCAAAGGCAGAAGAGGTGTTGTGGTCCCTCTGTTGGGTCTTTACCTCCTTAGGGAAGAGGAGACCCATGCAACCTAATAATTTGAAAGCTGACTTAATATTTATTCTAGAACCTCCAGGCCCCCTCTGTTTCTGCCAGTCTTTAGTTCTTTCATTTGTCCTCCAGAAGGCAGGAAAGAACAATCAAGTGAGGAGATAAAGGACAATGCTTCTAGAAATTAAAAGAGATCTTATGCAGCATTTAATGACCCCCTATATTGCTCAGATTTCTCAACAGGTGCAGAGAGGTTGAGACTCTTACCCAAGGTCACGCAGCGGCTGAGGACAAAACCTGGGAGCCCTGAGTGCTTTCACCAGTATTCAGTGCTTTCTCAGGAAGGTTTGTGGTGAATCTTTCTGGGTCTTGCCTCTGTCCTCCAGAGAAGAGAAATCAGTGCTTCCTACATTCCTATTTCAGATATAATAAGGTAGGCTCATTATTACTGCCTTATCCAACAGATCAGACTTGCAACAAAAGAGGAATGACAGTAATAGTGATAATAATGCCATCGTTAAGGTGCCTGGCACCCTCCAAAAGCTTAGGAACACCGTCCTCCTGTAATCCTCATCTTATCCTTTTCGTGCATTTATCAGTGATTGGTCAAGACTTCCAAGGGTGGGACTTCCCTGGCAGTCCAGTGGTTAAGAATCTGCCTTACAATGCAGGGGACATGGGTTCGATCTCTGGTCGGGGAACTAAGATCTCATGTGCCATAGAGCAGCTAAGCCCTCACATCACAACTAGAGAGGCTGTGTGCCACAACTAGAGAACCTGGACCCCAACGAGAGATGACACAGTGAAGATATCTAGTGCCACCACTGAGACCCAATGCAGCCAAATACATTAAAAAAAAAAAAAAAAAAGACTTCAAAGTGTTTCAGGTGCTGGAAGGACCACAATGAGCAAACATCTCCCTGCTCTGGTGGAGCCTGCATTCTGCTGAGAAGTGAGGGGGGTGACAAAGACAATCACACATATAAGGTTGTTTCAGAGAGTGTTAAGAGCCTGGAGAAAAACAGTGATGTGATGGAAAGTGCCTGAGAACAAGGAAACTGAAACTTAGCAGGACCCCCTTCGGGGGAGGGGCCTCCCCGCCCCCTGATTGCTTGTAGAAAATCTTAAGTCTCCAGGGCCTTCTGGGAGTTCCAAAGAGCAGACTGGAGCAGTTCCTAATTAGAGAAGTGAGGGAATGCAGAAACAAAGGGTAAGTGGTCAAGAAAGGACAGCTCAGGGGTAAAACTGAGGCCTAGCTCGTCCTCCAGGGATACACAGAACAATCTGATTCAAATCTTTGAGTTGCTTTGCGGGGACTAAGACCCCATCCAGGTGGAAAATGGTAACTACCTGCTGAGACCTCAGACTTTTTGGAACCAGAAGACTGGTTGGATTGAGCTTCCTGGTCACCTCACCACCAACCAGAAGGAAGTCAGGCACCCGCAGCCCTCACCCCATATTTCGCCTTTAACAACTCTTCCTTGAAGCCGTCAAGGTTTGGGTCTTCTGACCTCAAGCCACCTGTTGTCCTTGCTTCAGTTCAGTTCAGTTGCTCAGTCATGTCTGACTCTTTGCGACCCCATGGACTGCAGTATGCCAGGCCTCCCTGTCCATCACCAACTCCCGGAGTTTACTCAAACTCATGTTCATCGAGTCGGTGATGCCATCCAACCATCTTGTCCTCTGTCGTCCTCTTCTCCTCCTGCCCTCAATCCTTCCCAGCATCAGGGTCTTTTCAAACGAGTCAGTTCTTCGCATCAGGTGGCCAAGGTATTGGAGTTTCAGCTTCAGCATCAGTCCTTCCAATGAACACCCAGGACTGATTTCCTTCAGGATGGACTGGTTGGATCTCCTTGCAGTCCAAGGGACTCTCGAGAATCTTTTTCCAACACCACAGTTCAAAAGCATCAATTCTTTGGTGCTCAGCTTTCTTTATAGTCCAGCTCTCACATCCATACATGGCTTGGCCCTTTGATAAAACTTTCTCTGCTCCAAGCTTTGACATTTTGGTTTATATGGCCTCACTGTGCTTCCGGCACATGGAAGACTTGGATTCAATAATGGGACTGAAGCCTGGTGGGTCCAGAAAGGTGTCCTGAGGAGGTAACATTTGAGCAGAGCCCTGGACAGTGAGAAAGAGCCAGACTCACTGTGGTCTGGGAGGAGAGCTTTCTGGGCGGTGAACAAGGCAAGTCATCAGAAGCCCCGAGAGTGCGTTTGGTGTGATCCATGAACTGGAAGGAGGTGGGTGAGCGCGGACAGAAGCCGACAACAGCTGGAGGGGAGACCCATCTGGAGAAGGCAGGGCAGGCCGCCCCACGCTTGTCCAGCCTGCCTGTCCAGACCCTGCCCCCAGACTTCCCGGTAAGGAGGTGGTTACTTCCCCTCCCTTGGGAAGAATGTCAGGGAGGCAGGGCGGGCTTTGGGGGAAGGGCAAGGGACAGGCCTTTGGAAAAGAGTTGCATGACTTTAATAAGAGGTGAGGTTTTTTCTAACTTATAGTATGTAAGTTTATGATTTGTTTACTGATTTTTGGCTGCACTGGGTCTTCATCGCTTTGCTCAGGCTTTCTCTGGCTGTGGTGGCTTCTCTTGTCGTGGAGCACAGACTCTGGGAACACAGGCTGCAGTCATCGCGGCCCTGAGGCCCAGTAGTTGAGGCACGCGGGCTTCGTTGCTCTGAGGCACGTGGGATCTTCCTGGACCAGGGATCGAACCTGTGTACCTTCCACGGCAGGTGGATTCTTATCCACTGTGCCACCAAGGAAGTCCAGAAGTGAATATTATTTAACTCATTTCACACCTGAGCCAGCGCAGGTTGAATGGTGGCTTCTGTTTCCTTCCAAACCATGCCTCTCATTTTCCAGCGTCCGTGCCATCCCGTAAACAAGAGGCTGACTGACCTTCCTCTCAGCCCAACCCCGCCCCTCCCCTCCGTCACCGGGCCCTCCTCCTCTCATCTCTCATCTCTCCGAGCTCAGGGCTGAGCCCTCCAGGGTACTCTGGTTGCTGACCTCATTCTGAGGGCTCTGTTCCTACTGGAATTAAAACTACTCCTTTTCTTGATCTTAGTTGCAGTACACGGGTCTTCAGTTGCAGCATTTGGGCTCTCAGTTGCTATGTGCAGGACCTAGTTCCCTGACCAGGGATCGAACCCGGGCCCCCTGCCTCGGGAGCTGAGCCGTAGCCACTGGACCGCCAGGGAAGTCATGAAGCGCACTCCCTTCTGTGTGCGCATCCACTGCTAGTCTGTGCGGGGCGCCGTTCTCCTCTCTGGGTCCTGACTGACACCAGCGGCTTCCCGACCGCCTGGGCTCACGCTTCCCCTTGAAGGCTTCCCGAGGCGCTGCTGGGGAGGAGGAGGAGGACTTCCGGGGCAGCACACCAGTCAGGGCTGTACTTCACTCTGAATTCTGCAAGGAAATGACGGCAGCTTTGGTCTCTAAAGGAGAGGAAGGCAGACCCTTCCTCTCAGACTCGGCTGAGGGGTCGTGTCCCTCACACAGCAACCTCCGCCGGGAAAGCGCCTCCTCATCCACGCATACGTTCACACTCGCCCCGCGAGTGCTGAGCCTACTCACTCAGTCGGGTCTGACTCTTTGTGGCCCCGTGGACGGCAGCCGGCCACCAGCCCTGCTGCGTGCCAGGCCCCGGGACCGGAAGTGAGGCTCTGAACTTCAGGGAGTCGCAGCCGAACGACAACGTCAGGCACGGTCCAGAGTAACCTTCCTGTGTGTTCCCTCACGTGATGCTCATAAGCAGCCTCGGAGACAGGCGGGGCGGGTGTGGTCTCCTTGTGTGTTGTCCAAGGTCACAGCAGGCTCCTGGAAGAAGTGGGCTTAACCCAGGCCCCTCAGGTCCGTTTTTATTCCTCTGGAATCTTAATTCTTTTGACTTTAGAGGGTGAGTTCAGCACATTAGGGGTTATACATATATATATTTTTTTTGGTTGTGCGGGGCCCTCGCTGCTCGTGGGCTTTCTCTGGCTGTGGCCGGTGGGGGCTGCCCTTGCTTCTGGTGCTCGGGGCTCTCGCGGCAGTGGCCTCTCTCATTGCAGCGCTCTCAAGCTGCAGTAGTTGTGGTGCTCAGGCTCCGCAGCTGCCGCTTTAGTTGCTCAGCAGCGTGTGGAATCTTCCCGGACCAGGGATCGAACCCACGTCTCCTGCATTGGCAGGCAGATTCTTAACCACTGGGCCACCAGGGAAGCCCAGGCGTGAGGTTTTCACATGGATTTCAGGGGCACAAGCATTCTGTCCATACCATCTCCCATCACTCCATTTCCAGCCTCCGGTCCCCTCGCTGTGTTCTCAAACAACTCAAGCACACTTACCGCAGGACCTTTGCACTTCCTGTGGCCCGCATCTCACATTCTTAGATATCTTGTTCCCTCTGCTCTTCTCCCAGAGGTGTGTGGCGTGTGCTTTCATCTCATCCAGTCTCCTCTCAGACGTGCCGGGCCAACTCCTCTTAACATGGCACCCCACTGCTGTTTTCTCTCTCTCTCCACCCTGCTTCCCTTTTCTTTGTGACGCGTCTCTCCTGACATTATTTCCCGGTGTGTTCCTTTATTATCTGTCTCTTCCTGAGCATGGTGTTAATATCAGGTCTGAGAGGGTAAGGATTTTGATTTGCTCCATGCTGTGTGCACCGTGCCCAGTAAAGTACCTGGCATATCAACAAAATTAATGAGTATCAACAGAACGGAAGAGCACACACATCATCCGTCTGGAAGAGTGTTTTTAAAAATATTTGTAAAGAAAAAAAATATTTGTTTATTTGGGCATGTTGGGTCTTAGCTGTGGCATGGGGATCTTGGTTACGTCATGCGGGATCTTTTGTTGCGACACACGGACTCGCTAGCTATGGTGATGGGCTCAGGAGTTGCGGTGCTCGGGCTTAGTCTCCCTGCAGCAAGTGGGATCTTAGTTCCCAGCCAGGGATCTAGCAAACTTGTGTCCCCTGCATTGCAAGGCAGATTCTTAATTGCTGGACCACCAGGCAAGTCCTGGAAAGACTATATTTTTTGAAACTACAACTAAATGGATGTCTTAAAACCAGACTGTCAGTGTATTTTTTTTTCTCCCATTCTACATATATTTAAATTGGTTTCAATCAAGAATAAGATTTTATGAGAACGAAGTATTGAGGAAACAGGAGGTAGACAACTGCTTATCTGCAAGTAATTCCTTTTCTCAGTGCCTAATGAATTTCCCATAAGTCATAAAAACAGGTCATAAAGGAGATTAAGTGTAATACTGCTGTGTGCATTAAGCTTCGATTTCTAATTAGAAGCCACAGAAAGTGATTGCTTCAGAACCAGGTGGACCTAGGCAGCAGAAAAGGAAGTAGAGTCTGGTAGGATAAGCATCCTATCTAGATAAAATCAGGGCATCTGACTCCAGATTGGTCATATTATTTAGGGAATTGCCAAATGTCTGTTTCATGCTGTGGCAAAGACAAGCTCTCAAAGACTTCATTTAAAAAAAACAATTAGTTCTTTATTTGGCTGAACCAGGTCTTGGGACTTCCCCAAGTGGTTCAGTGGTAAGGAATCCATCCGTAGTGCAGGAGACAGGGGTTTGAGCCCAGGACGGAAGACGCCCTGGAGAAGGAAATGGTAACCCACTCCAGTATTCTTGCCTGGAAAATCCCGTGGCCTGGCAGGCAAAGAGTTGGACACAACTTAGCGACTAAATAACAACAACAACTGGGTCTTAGTTTTGACACCCAGGATCTTTAGTTGCAGCATGTGGGATCTTGTTCCCCGACCTGGGATTGAACCCCAGGCCACCAGGAGGACCCACAGTCCTGCTGACCCCTCGATTTCAGCTGGGTGGAACTGATTGTAGACTTCCGACCTCCAGAAGGGTCAGAGGACACCTTTTTGTTTTTGTCTTTCTTTTATAGAGAGATTTTTTCATATGGGCTATTCAAAAAGTCATTATTGAATTTGTTACAATATTCTGTTTTATGTTTTGGTTTCCTGGCTGAAAGGCATGCAGAATCTTAGCTCCCTGACCAGGGATGGAGGCCACACTCCCTGCACTGGAAGAAGTCTTAACCACTGGATCACCTGGGAAGTCCCTAAATTCATGTAGTTTTAAGCCACTAAGTCTGAGACAGCTTGTTACAGCGGCAATAGGAAATGAACGTAAGTGCTGTCTGGGGATTCCTGGCTTCTGAGGAGTGGGAGCCAGGGCATCTGAATTAGAATTGAGCTTCCTCGATGTGACGTGTGCACACTGGCCACTGCCTTAGCAAAAAGCAGAACTGGAGATTATTAGGAGTGGAAGCCTGGGGCAGCGAGGTGGGTGAAGCAAGGAGAAAGAAGCGCAGACTCCTCGCTCTGAGATAGACCTGTTCTGTTCCACCTGGCCTCTGTTCGCCAGGGAGCTGTGAATGGATACAGCAGATCGTTCAGTGGCTCATCTGCTCAGATATTGTTGTTCAATCGCTCAGTCGTGTCCAACTCTTTGCAACCCCATGAACTACAGCACACCAGGCTTCCCTGTCCCTCACCATTTCTTGGAATTTACCCGTTGTCCACTGAATCAATAATGCCATCCAACGATCTCATCCTCTGCCGCCCCCTTCTCTTCTTGCCCTCAACCTTTCCCAGAATCAGTCTTTTCCAATGAGTTGGCTCTTCGCATCAGGTGGCCAAAATATTGGAGCTTCATCCTCAACATCACTCCTTCCAATGAGTATTCAGGGTTGATTTTCTTTAAGATTGACTAGTTTGAGCTCTTTGAAATCCAGGGG